TAATAAATAAATTCACCTAACAAATTTCGGCTGTTAGACGATGAAAACGGAACAATTCATCTAATTGGATAAGACCATCAAAAGTAATTAGCTAAGCATGGCAATGAGGCGGGGTCAAGATGTTTCTTAGTCCACCTGCCCCGTAGGAAATTTTCAAAAAAGCGGGGCGGGAATAGATTGGAAACTCGTGGGAGGGTTAAGAATTATAATATAACTATTTATCGTCACATTTTCTTACTTTTTTTGAAAAATATAATTTAATTTTGAATGCATAAAAAGATAAGATTTAGGGTCACATCCTCGTCTCAATTCCCTGACGTGAAGGTGCTGTAAGTATTATGCCCTATAATCGATGCATATTTATGACAATATCTAATTATCTATTATTTAATTGAATTAATATTCTAATAAATTAAATAATAGAATCTGTATATTCAAGTCTTTGTGATTTGTTACCCACAAGTAGTTGTGATTGTGAGATACAAATTATATATGACTGAATCTTAAATCGTCATTGGTCGAAGTAATAACGAGATACGAATATCGTTATTATGGATAGATCATCGCATGTGGCATTCTTACTTGTGAAGTAAGTAGTTGATCTCACAAGTTAAAGTGTGGTGACATTTAAATGAATACGTGGATATTTTGTTATAGAACAAAATACTGGAGACCCGCTGGAGGATTCCACATGGATGACTATCTGAGCGCTAGTGGTTAATCTCTAACGTTCGGTAGTGGAATTGATCATTTAATTTGAGGTCATCATAGTACCTTATACGAGGACATTCATATTTTGATAGTATTGGATGTTGCTCTGCCAAGGAACACTATATGAGGCTTATTCAAGAGTGTAGTTTCATATATCAAATGCCACAAAGGGAAAGCTGAGAATCATGGCTATGTTTTCAAAAAGCAGTGGATCCTGATTCCCATGTCCTTCCTCTTACAGTTAAATGTAAAATAGAACTAAATTATGATTTAGATTTCAAAAGTGACTGAACAAGCAAATACCTCTTTAATGAAGAGATGCAAAGAAAATGCAAATTGTATTTTCCGACGGAAAATAAAAAATGTAGATTTACATCTTTTTTTATATCCACAAGAGGCAAAAAGTGGATTTACATATTTCTATTAAAATAAAATTTGAATTTAGATTTAAAGAAATGTAAATGATGATGTAAAAATGATTTTGAAAATACCAATTTACACCAAATTTTACACAACGAGAGATACTCCAAGATCTAGTTTTAAGGTGTCTGTGCGGCCACATGGATTAACTTAAAATTAATTTGGTAAGTTCAAGAACCTGAAGAAGGAGCATA